AGTCACGACTTCTTTATAAAAAATATATTATTATAAAATTAACAAATTTATTAAATATGGTTTTAAGTCGTTTGTTAAATTCTTTGTCAGTCTCTCTCTCTCTCTCTCTCTCTCTCTCTCACTCTCTAATATTTACAAAAACTATTGTCTTTTAAGACGTTTTCTTAAAGCGTTATAAATTGTTGAGTTGGAGTTAATGACTATTATATTACTATATAAACAACATATAAAGAGATTTGGTGTACATTAAGAATAAGAATTAAGAATGTAATACAAAATTGTGAGAAAATATTCACTAGTGTTTGAGTGAAATTGACAATTGAGTCGAGCATTAAGTAAATAACAATAACAATAAAATACAATAAAAGCAATTTGATTGCAAGTATATGGCAATTGTTTTTGCACTTTTTTTATTTAACAATAATCAGTATAATTAACACAAATGTAGAGATGTATTGAATTGATAACATTTTTGATCAATATATTAGAGAAAATTTGTGAAAACATTTTATTTAAAATTGTATACAAAATTAAACTTTTAAAATATAACTTAATTTAATTAAAAATAATTACAAATAAAAAATAAAACTTAATATAAATTTGTTTAACTACTATTAAAAACAACTGTTGAATTAATAAGACTATTAATCGTTGTAGAAATGGTTTGGTTTGGATATAACCAATCGGGCGATGAATTGCTTAAATTAAATATAGGATAACCTAATAAATAAATATTGAATAACATCATCACTATTGAGATGATCTTTGCTATCATTCCCGGCAATACCTATTTTGGTTTGGATATAACCAATCGGGCGATGAATTGCTTAAATTAAATATAGGATAACCTAATAAATAAATATTGAATAACATCATCACTATTGAGATGATCTTTGCTATCATTCCCGGCAATACCTATTCAATAGAGAAAAACATATTTTAATAATAATAACAATAATGTGTCTAAAATTATATTAGTTTTTAGATTGTATTATAACTTATAATTTATAAGTGAAGTCATTATAAATGAAAAATATATTCAATAATATCATCACATTTTCATAATAAAAAAGTTCATAACAATTATCCACATAAATAAATGGCCCGAAAAATCAGTGCTTTTTCTAAATACAGCTAAAAAAGCGTTTCAACAGTTAATGTCTATTTCTAATTAGCATTAAATTAAAATTTAATGAATTGCTAATAATTGCTAAACAAAATCATTGATATATTCAGTATTTAAGATAACAATCTTTCTTTCTTTTTTGTCTTCAGAAATAATAATCAAAATTGCACAGAAAAAGGAGACAATTATTTGATAAATAGGGGAACGAAACAGATTTAATTGTGAGTAAAGAAGTTATATGTGATGTGTGTTCATGAATAGGCAAATAATTCATATGACATTCACTTATACTTCATATAAAAATGTGATCTTTGAGATAAATAATGTCAATTTTGTGCAAAAATAATGGCTTCTCTTAACTGATTATTAATTACTGACATATTTTAGAGATAATTTCTATCAGCAAATCCTTTATAAAATACCCTTTAATACAAATAAATGAGAGAATTTTGTGCCGACTTTAAGAAATATTAATTACACCTATTGTTTGGCTAAAAGCGCTGTATATTAAAAACAACAAAAAGATATGCTTATAATGAATAAGATATCATAAATACCATATCAGATATGTTGAGATTTGCGTGATAGTAGACAATGGCGTTGGCAGTGGTGCCGACCGGCAGTATGTATGCATAGGCACAGGATGTGGTGATTGTGATGATCAATATTAATGGATTTATGCCCAGATCTTCGCCCAATTGCGCGGCCACTGGGATCAGGATTGTGGCCGTGGCTGACGTTCGCATCACTTCTATCAGTAGTGTTGAGGTCACGGATAGCAACACAATGAGCGCACCCGTGGGTAATGAGCCCACGAGTGCTAATTGTTGGCCAATTAATCTCGAAAGTCCCGAAGACTGCGTGAAAAACAAAATAATGATTAGTTTGCGAATGAAGTGATGGGTGAAGACATACAGTGACCGCATCGGCCATTGAGAAGCCGCCGCCTCTGAGTATAATGACACCCCATTCCAGCTTTGTTTGCACTGTTTTCCAGTCCAGTAAAGCGCCCGAAGGGTACGGACCCAACGGATGGGACGGTATTATGAATAGTAATAGAGTGCAGAATATGGCGGCTCCGGCCGGTTTTGGTTTGATGTTGTTTATGGACAATAGTCGGGACCATCCGGTCATGAACTGCGGGTCGTGAAAGAAGTACAACAAAATCATGACAACAAATACGGCCAATACTGCAAACTCGTGAAACCTATCAATTAAAACACATTAATTGTCATTATTTAAAACCCCACATAAAAAATAAGCTTATTTTTGTGCATAAATTTGAATTTAAAGCAATAGTTGTCTTAATTTATGATTTAATAATTGATCGCTAATATAGTAGTGATATTTAAATCAAAGGCATTTTATTCATAAGCATTTGAAGCGAACAGTTTAACCATTAATTTGAATATAATTATCGCATGTAATGTAAATTTACACTAAATTTGTGTTTAATATATTTAATATTCAAAAAACATTTATCTGAAAACTAAATTAAAGTTATTTTGATGTATATTTCATACATAATATCATTAATTAAATCACAATTAGATAATTATATTGTACTTAAAACATGGTTTGAATAATGAAGACATTTACTCATTAACTTTATAATAAAACAAAATTTTAGGTCTTTTTATTTTTGTCAAAACATTTTGATAAAAATAAATATGAAAACTTGATATTAATTCATTAGATAAGTGTAAGAATTGATTTGTTTTTCACTGTATTTTATTTCTAGTATTTGTTTATAATATAATTCACACAAATATTTAAATAAATTTCAATAAAAGAAATTTATTTGAATTTTGTTTATTAAAAATAATATTAATTTTTAAAAGTGATAATTAATTCATATAAAACAGATTCAAACAAATGTGTGGATTGAATAGAAAGGCGACGATCTGTCACTTTTCTCAAAATCATCGGTTTGTTTGCGATAAATATAGACTTTGATAAACATGTGTTTAACATTATATCGATAATTATTTTTGTATTTATGTCTAATTATTTGTCAATTAATTATTAAATAATGTGTTACAGAATAAAATGCCTTTTAAATCATAAATACTACACAAAATTTATAAAATATTGGTAGCATTAAAATGTTGTGATTATAATACTATTGCTTTAAATTGATCCTAAATTTGCAATACATTTGCATAAAATGAGACACATTTCAAACAATTTCACACTTTGTTTCTTATAAAAGAGATTCATTTATAAGTAGTACTGCTTTCCATTTGTTTATTTGACAGTCAATATAATTGATTTGATTTATTTGCTATAAACAATTACCCACTAATTGTGTAATTGCATCCAATTATGTAATTTCCATATGAATTATAGGCAATGGGGGTTGGGATGGGACTCAAACACTACACACAGACTTATCTATTATACAATTTATTGTATTAAACAGTTTATTAAAAACTATATAAAAACGAACTTAAGTATAGCTTCTACTGAAAACACTATAAATTTAAATTTATTAAATGACAATTTGTTTAAAAACAAATTTATAAAATAAATCAATTGTTTAATTCAAATATCAAGCAAATAAAACAGCGGTCGTAACCCCCCTTTGATTGTTGCGAAAACAAAACAAATTGTGCACAAATGTAGAGCCAATAGCGAGTAATTAAATTAAAGTGAAATAAATTGTTTGAAAACGTTTAACACGCCAACAGTATTAATACAGTGAGACTTACGTGATTGGACCCAATTTCTCATACTTTTTCCTAATTATATTCCGTAAAACTAGACGTTTCTCTTTTGGCACTGAAATATTCCTATAGAAATACATACAAAATATATAAATACATTATTATTATTATAGTTGTTATTATTCCGTATGCAATGATCCGTGAGATACGGAAAATCAATTATGTTTTCTCTGAGAGATACTTGAAATTTATTCAATTTTAAAGCGATTTTTTAATTAAATCGTTAGAGAGAGAGAGAGAGAGAGAGAGAGAGAGAGAGAGACTGACAAAGAATTTAACAAACGACTTAAAACCATATTTAATAAATTTGTTAATTTTATAATAATATATTTTTTATAAAGAAGTCGTGACTAAAAGAATTATATGTAATAAAAGTAAGTATAGTTTAGATAACAATAAATATTGTATATATGGTTAATGTTGAGGTATAGCCCAGTGTTATGTCTTTCTATTACACTATACTTAACAATATCGTAATTATGGACTTATAGTCTACTTAATTATAACTCTCTTATCATATGTTAAATACATTATACAGTAGTGTACTTTCACTGTCACTACTAATTAGTAGTTTTTGTCTAAAACTTATAATTTTTTAGTTTAATTCACTTCTTTTGTTTAACGTTTACTGTTTGACAACTGGTTTGACAAATAGCTTTGACAACAACTTTTGTCCGGTATTGAACTCTTCACTGCTTTCAAAACAATGCAATTCTTGGAAATCAAAAAATACTTTCAATTCTCAGAATTTTCAGGTCTGAGAAATACGACTAGTTTTTACATATCTTCGTCTCTCTCTCTCTCTCTCTCTCTCTCTC